GCTTTTTGTTTGGGCAGTTTTATGAATTGCTTCAATGCTCATTTACCGGTCGGCCTAATGGGTGCATTGCCGTATTCCCGTATTGCCGTAGTGCCCCATTCCCATATTGCCCACCCACGAGGTCGTAATGCTAGTTCTCTGCGGTAAGAGATCCATAAAGTGCACAAGTTCTGCTGCTTTTATGGTCGGGTGTCGGCCAGAATGAGGATTCATTGAAATACTTTTATTTCTTTGGCTCTTAAGAGCAGAAGAAGTGACTAAGCTGGGTTAAAATACAATACGATTTTAGTAGTATACATCGGGGAAAAAAGAACAACATTTAAAAATGAAATAAAAAATCCATTTCAGGAATAAGTTCAACCGACAGCCTTTAAATTCCCCTGAATGTTTGATCGAAATTTCAGTTGTTTTTTTGAGGGAAATAGAAAGCCGTACTATTTGAAAAACTTTGGCAAGCGTCACTCATTAACGCCCCGTTTGCTCCACCTGCAAATCAATTATCTGATGTGCCAAAACAAGTTGGGGAAGTATCAAAAACTCGTTGATTCACTTGCTCAACAGCACAGAGGCCCTCGAGCCAGTTGAACCCCGAAAGTATGGACACAAAAAATGCTCGAGTGCACATATCATGGAGCAACAATAAACTGGGTTAAGAATGCCAGACTCGACCGACACGATTTCAATTTGCTTAGTTGATAAATGCCAAAAATTAATTCAGCCAGCACACAAAATGCCTCAGTTTTTGGTTCTGGCTGGAAATGCACATACACACACTCACACACATACAGATACAGATACACATACGTATAAATATGCATGTGAGTGGCTAGAAAATATTTTCACTTTTTTGCTGTGATTCCTTCGGGGCAAAGAAAGAAAGTTGCCTTTCTTCTTCTGCCGGCTGTGTCAGGCACAAAGTTGCACCGACTTTGCACCCACTTTCCACCTGGCTCGTTCGTAGATGTACTAAATAGTTTCTCACGTGACTTTTGCCCATAAAAATTGGCTTTATTGCTGCACACGTATTCATTAATGGCAGCACTGAACTCACATGTGAACTCGGCGGCAGTTTGAGGTTCCTTGAGAAATGGTCACCCCACTCCAACCACCCACACAACTTGTTGTTATTTTTGTTGTTGTTGTTGCACTCTGAATTGGTTGCAAGTCGTCTGCACAGGAAGTGCATATTAATTGTGAAAATTTGTGCGGATATTTCCTCGAAAAATAGCTGCCCTCCTTTCATATTGGCTTTTAGTCGTCCAAATCCATGGCTTGCACCGAAAAGTATGGCATTAGCTGGAATTCCTTGGAAATTGCATAAGGAGCGAGCTCTGAAAGTGCACAAAAAGCCAACAAGAGTTCATATAATGTTTTGATAAGAGCAGCTGCACATATAATAATAATAGTTTGTTGTTTGCCGCCGGGAGCTCAAAACAAAAATGTGACTTTAAGACACTCCGCAAATAAAATAAAGTTCTTCTTGAACATTTTGCAAACAGAAACTCTACCCTTTAAACCACATAATTGCTTTCTGTTTGCTATTTAACAAATTTTCAATCAATCAAATTGGCAAATAATCCGTTGAATCTGCAATTATTTAGTGTAAGCTTGACCATTTTCACGTCGTTCGCATAGTTTTCCTTTGAAGCGAGGGGAAAAACGATTTTATTCAAAGCGTGGAGGGGGTATAATAAATAAATTTCCATAATGAGCGAAAAATGTCTGAATGAAAATGTAAATCACTGAATTTTTCATTGATTTCAGACGGAACGCCCGCCCCCCTCCTCGATCCTTCGATTTTCCAATTTTTCCCCGTTTTCGTTCGTTTTCAATTATTCGCGTATTTCGAATAATTCAATGCAGCGAATGCCTCCGTCCCTGTCATCCGCTTGTAATTACGTAATAAGGCAGGGAATGTTTTAAAGCCGCTTACCGTTAACAATCGTAGCGGGGGCGAAGTGGGTGGTGGGTGGAAAAGTCCTGTCCGGGACGAAATAACATGTTATTGCACTTTTCTTTTAAATGAACGCAGTAAGCTCGCCACCGGGTAACACATGACAATGGCAAGGCGCTGATAAAAGTCGGGCTGTTTGCGGTCGCTCCTTTATCCTTCAGAGCGCCCAGCACGTCCTTTGCCTTGACAGGAGCAGCGAGGTTGGAGGGAGGAGGGTTGCTGGGTTTCTGGGAGGTTGTCTGGACTGAAATGCATTTTCAAACCACAAAAATAATTAAAAACTTTACGCCCTGGGCTCTGCTCCGCCGCTCTTTTAATCCTGTCAGACGGTTGTCCTGGGACAGGACTCCCGCCTCGTGTCGAGGTCAACCGATAAAAATCAAAGGAGCCGAAGTCTTGGCCTTTAAACGGCGCAGCGGTTAATGAAATTGTCTCGCCGCCTCTGACGGCCGATCCCGGTCGATAGGAACCACTTCTTTATAGCCAACAACAACAACAAGAAGATGAAGAAAAAGAAGAAGAGTAAGGAGAAGAAGAAGAACATCCCGCCGATGCAAAGTCGCTTTCTGTCTCCTCCGTTTCGTTGGAGGTTTTTCCGTTTTCCTCACCTGCTCGGAAAAGTTCAAAAGCCAAAAGGTTCACGCACCATCGCGCGCGACTTGTCAAAGGTAGAAAAAACTCGAAAAAGTTTCCCTTTGCGGTTGTGGCGATCTCGAGTCCTGTTTTCATCGAGCTTCCGTTTTTTCCTTCGTCCTGTTAACCCATTTTTACCTCCGAACTCCCTTAGATCAAAAGGAAAATCTGCATAATAAAGGTAAATTATATTGGCATAGAAAGATTCTGAAAGCTTTAGGTAGATTGTTGTTAGACACAAATATTAATCTTTTGGTAGTCCTTTTATGAACTTATTCTTTTTCCCACAAAATATCATCACTACTATCATTCCGATAAATACAACATAATTACGTACAAATTAGACAGCTTTTCCTTTCCTTTCCGTTGCAAGAAATGGTGTCTAAATGGGATTTTCCCGACCAAGGACTGCTTCTGCTCTTCATTACCATCGGAAAATTGGCGTGTAGCGCAACTTTTCATTTGCCAGGACCGCAAAAAAAATAATCTGGCACTGCGTCGAAATGGGTTAAGGCCCAAGGCCAGACCGCAGTCATCTTTAACGAAGGAGCTGCCTTCTTTTTTGGGGTTCAGTCCGAACTGGCGAACTGGCGAAAGTTGCTCCTGCTCGGCCCGTAAAAAACATTTGCGCAATGTCAACAAATTTGCGCGCTTATTAGATTTTCGTGGTTGCACACAATTTCGCCAACTAAGACCGCCGCAGTGAGATAAAGTGCAGCCTGCGAAAATATGAATAAAATAACGAGAACTTTTCGCCAAACGGAAGTGCACGCTGCGTTTTTCTGTGGGTTCGAGACCCGTTCGCTCTGAGTTTTCCAAGTCCACCGATTTCCCGGCGCTGCGGCTGACCGGTGGCCAACGCCCACTTGGGGCCGTGAAAGGGGCGTGGCCAGCGGGGCGGGGGAAGGGGGCGAAGTGGCACGCCCATTCACGCGACGGTCACGGTCGCCGGTTCTGCTAATGAGTTTTGTTGTCACTTCTTGCTGGCCAAGCACAAATCGGATGGTCGGGGATCATTTGGCCGCACCATGTCCTTTCCACTGCCTTTCTTTTGCTTGAATTTATGCGGCAGGACTCTGCATGAGTGTGTGAGTGTGCGAGCGTCGAATGGCGAGTGTGTGTGTGTGTGTGCGGTAAGTTAATATTTGCTGCATAAATTCCAGTGCGTCGGAATTTACTGCGCTTCGTTTCGCTCTCCACTTTTTTGGCCAGCTCTCCCCGGCGTTTTGTTCGCTGTTGTCCTGGAATTATGAAAATGCAGTCCGCAGCTCACTCCACTCCACTCCACCGCATAGTCCTGCGGGATCCTTCGGACACACGAACACGAGAATATTAATTACTTTCTGCATTTTTAGCTCTGCGGCTGGAATTCAAATGAGCAGATTTTAGTTAATTTGTTTTTCAGCGAGAATATTTATTTTTTCGTTTCAAGCTCTTAATCCGCTGCCAAGTTTCGGTTATTTGTTCTCCCATTAAGCACACTAAGCTCGTAAACCCACCGAAAACTGCAAGCTACTTATGTGGATTTAGTTTTCGAAAGAGCCTCTCCCAAAAAGGAACTAAGCTGCCAGCTAAAATATTTGAGCATACAGCAAACAAACTTGTGCAATCATTACGCTTAGTATTTAAAAGGGAACAAGGGTATATAAACTATAATTGTCGGTTTTATCGTGAGTTATAACCTAGTGAACGGCACATTAGCGATTAGCAAACGGTAACCATCAATCAGAAAACGTGAAATTCGATTTCCCTAATGAGCACCCCCGAAATGGGTCATCAATATTGTCCAATATTCAAATGCAAACACGGGAAAGTAACTCGGCTGTCCTGTGGCCGAGATGACAAGCGAAAAGCACTGCAAATTATCCGCACGTTACAGGACGAATGGCAACAGGACTCAACCAGTTACCAACCAGTTACCAAACAGGTTCCCAAACAGGAGCCAGCCCACCGAGGTGATTCCGATGAGCTGCGTTTACAAAACAAACACAGAAGCGAGCACACAAATATGACACTGAATTGTTTTTCATGTCGGTGGCCAGCACAAATCGTAGCCACCTGGCTGGGGAGTGGGTGATCCACGGTGGTGGTGCCAAGAATGACGGAGCCACCGGTTTCGAATTCCATTTGACACATTTTCGCCAGCGACTCGATTTCGCTCGGTTTTGTCGTGCTGGCTGTCATTTTTATTATGCCAGTGGGTGGGTTGCAGTCACCACCGCCACCACCACAATGGCCATTCGAAACCATATCCCCCAGCTGGTTGGGCACTGCAAACATTCGATTTCCCGCCGGAGCGAAGTGCAATTGCAAATCTACATTGTAAATTTGCGAGTGATTCCGACTGACTCCTCTTGCGGGGATTACCATTTACCATTCACCATTTAAAGGCAATGACTTGTGGCGAGCAGGCTTTATTTTAAGACAAAGTTTTGAGCCCAATTTAAGGCAGGCGTAAAATTCTCCGGGCGCTTTTCCGACATTTATGGCTCATTTAGCCTGCTCTGCGTGTAAAGGGGAAAAGTTTGTGGTCATGAAAAATTCAAGTTTATATTTGGCATTCACTCAATCTCTTTCGTTTTCATTATCTTGAGAAGCATTCGTTTTCTGCGAGGTTCACCACTGAACCCTGAGGTCGTTCTCCATCTGAAAAAATCTCTCCCACAGAACCTTGTAATCGATATCTCCCCGACTCAGGTTCCTTTTGCAACTCTCCAGCTCCGAGTCCTTGAAGGTATACAATATCGGCAGGATGTGGGATATGGCCAGCTTGGCGGTTCCCCGACTGGTGGCCGCCATCACGAACACAAAGCCCGTGGGAAAGATGACGAGCTTGACCTGAGTTCCCGCCATGATGTAACTCAAATACGGCAGGTTGAAGGGATCGTATTCTGAGATCTGGGGATATTGCGAGTGCAGCTGCTGCAAGTTCACACTGAAGTGTACACTGAAACTGGCGTTAATCACGTTGTACTTCATCCGGCGAAGACGAGGATTGTAGCCCATGTCCCTCAGTTCGCGCAGCATGTTGATCATACCTTTTCGGGCAGAATCGCGGCTATATCCCTGGCAATATATGTTGCCATTGGGATAGATCTTCAGATTGCTCACCGGGTTTATGCGTTTGACAAGCACACACAACTGCCTTTCCGGATCGTACGCGGAATTATTCATAAGAAGCTGAAGGTCCAAGAGATCGAACTTGCATGAAGTGATGCCAGTGCAATAAAAGGGTCTACAAAGCAAGCGTGGTTATTCACCATTATAATATTAGAATATGGAATAGAAAAACCCTACTCACGTGTATAATATATTCAGATAGCGCTCGATGTCCCCCAGTTTGGATACGTCCTGGTATATCTCCAGTATTTCTTCCTTTGTCGGCGTTCTTGGAGCAGAAATGCCCAAGGATTTCATCTGACCCTCATCCATTTTCGAATCTGTGGTCTGCATCTTTGACATTCTGGCATTCAATTCAGTTAGAGTTTGGGCCCAAGTCAGCGCTTCCACATCTCCGAATAAAGTTTCCTGTACCCTCAATTCCTTTGACAGTTTTGGTTTCTTCGGAATCAGCACAGGAATAGGTTTGAACCGCTTGTTGAAACAGTTCCTGTTGGACGAATTAAATTAATATTAATACATAGAAAATTAATGACTTTTCAGTGACTTACTTTGACCAATCCATTTTAGTTCGATTCAATGACGAAGCTTTTAAGTGACTTAAAACGTGATTGACCCTTAGAGTGACCAGATTAACAAAAGAATGGTGCTGCCACTTTGATAAAAAGCTGAAAATGCAACTCTGATCGCCATTGGAGGCGCACTTTTGAGTTATTAACTTTATGAATCGAAAGATTAGCTCTTGCTTAAATGAATTCGAAACCGTTAATGATGTTTTAGTAAAACAGCTTTAAAATCTTTGTTGAAATTTGACTTTTGCACAAATAATTATTTGTCAATCTATTTGCGCTCGACTAAATTCCAGAACAAACCCATTAGCCGACTGATTAAATTAAAATAACGCATTTCATTGCATCAAATCCTAACAAACGCAGGCAAACAATCAGAAATATCATTCAAATTCAAATCGCAGAAGCTGCATAATTGAAACCCATTGAAGTCCATTAATAACTTTATGCAGCAGTGCAAGTCAAACACACAGACACTGCGATAAAATCAAACAGCCCAACCAACACGTACTCATATTTCTCAGTCGGGAAAAGGCGGGAAAAGAAGGGTGGAAAAGTGGGCGGGCCGGGCCGGGTGATTCGGGCGGTGGGCTGAAGGACTTGACGTTAGCTCATCAAACCCGAAAAACCACTTTGCTCAACTCTTTTCAAAGTGCATACATCATCAACGCTAAGCCAAAACAAAAAAGCAATGCAAAGGGAGCGAAATGAACGATGAACGGGTGGTGCAAGTGGTGCAAGTGGTGGGTGGCTTGCAAATGGTGGGTGCTGCTGTAGAAGGAGACTGGAGGTTGGAGTTTGGAGATTGGGGGTTGGCGGTACTGGGAGCGCTGAAAACTTTTGTGCAATGTTGATTTTTCCGCAAGAGTCGTTTTTTGCCAGCACCAGACGGACGTACGGACAAACGGACGGACAAGCGAACGGACGGACGGATGGAGACGGTCTACGGGGTCCACGGTCGATGATGGTCTACGGTCTGGAGTCTACGGTTTAAGCCGAACGGAATAGAACGGAAGCCATGCCGCAGGCACTTTATAAAACCCGCAGCTCAGCAAAAGTCTTTCAATAATAATAATATTGGGGCGCAAGAGGGACAACAAAGGCAAATGGGTGAAAGTGCCCGGCTTAAAACTCTCCCACAAGCACATATCCTCGGGTCATAGGTGAAAACAAAGCGGTACAACAAAAACAAACACAAATTATAGATTATGTGCAACTAAGCTTTATTGCAGTCATAATTCTTAGATAAAAAATTAAACGAATGGGGTTTTAAATTCGGCTATTAGTAAATTAAGTGGAAGTAGACAAACTATCTCTCAGTTATAAATAATTTGGCAATTAATAAATACTGTGTATTTTGCCAATTGCCAATTACACATTTGTGGCTTGCCAAGAGCTATGGAACAATAAATTGAACTCGAAACTCATAATTTGCCAAAGAGGTTGTGATATATTCTGGTTTAAATTATTGAATTTTCTTTAAGATCCAAAAATTGATTAAATGCATTACCAAGAATAGAGTTAAGTTTGTTCACTACATTGATGACATTTAAGCTGAATTTACTACCCTTTGGCTTGGTGACAGGTTCTTCGACAGCGAGTCCATTAAAAATCAAATGGCAAATCGTGTAAATCACAGCCTTGACTTCGCCCCATACCCTTGTCCTCTGGTGACCCGTGACCTCTTGACGGGAATGGGAAACTGGCAATGGAAAGCGGAGAAGTCAAGGGAGGCAGAGGGTGAGGGGGAGGGGCATTTCTACCGGGAAATGGGGTTTTGGGAGTGATTTCGCTGTTGGCGCTCCTGCTGCTGCTGCTGCTGCTGCCGTTGATGATGATGATGACAAACAAAACAATGGAATCAAAGCGGTTAATGGCTTTTGTGTGTAAAATGAATGAATGCGGCAACGTTTCCTGCTTTCATTTGCAGCGTCATTTGCTCTGGTAGCCGACCCCGCCCCCCTTCCCCCGCCTCCTTGGCCATCAAGTGCGGGGTGAGAGGTCATCGGCTACAGCAGTTTTAGTAACATGTTTGTTTGTGTATGCTGTGAGTGCACTCCTAAAAAATTAAAGAACACAAAATATTTACAGACCCAAATGTTACTTGTTTATATCACATTGGTTTTAGTTTTCAAGATACCAACTAGCAGACTTTTCAAGTAAATTAAATATTATTTTCTAATATACAATTTTGCCTAGCAAAACTGCAATTATTTTTTCCAGTGCACACACATCCGCATAGGTAAAAGCTGTTACAAGCGCTAATCGATAAAGGGGAGAGAATTCTTTGCCGGATGGGGAATGGGGGAACCGAAAGGGGGAAGCTGCATGCAACTGACATCACCGGCAGTGCAACTCCACTTTCATTATTGGTTTTTTGTTACATCCCTGCCACATGCCACAAGGATATGCCCTCGAAGCCTGGCAAGATTTCTCCCGTCCAGCTCTTTCAACAACCGATAATTAAATCGAACAAAGGCTCAGATTTGACATTCCCTTGCAGTTCCGCTCGTTTATCAAATGGCGAATGCTTCTCCGCCCTCCATTTCCCTGATTTTCTTAAAGGCTCGAGTGGTTTTCTTCTTGCAATTAATAGACATAAACAAAGGGATAAGCCGACTTCGTGGTATTAAATTTCCAGAGGGGCTTAAAAATCATATGCCATTTTAAAAGTTACAAATGCAATCAATAAGATAGTTCAAACCAGAATTTAAATGCAACGGGGATTATGTAACTAACGGAGATATTAAAATTCATTACTTAGGTTCAGCTGAAGAATAAGAAATCTCAGCCAAATTGCTAAATTTATTTGTGTAACTTATTAGAGAAATCCCAGCGTAGCCTGCTCTTAAAAGTGATTATCCCGCTTCTGAGTATTTTGTGAGCTCTCGAAAAGGCGGCTCGTAGTCATGGCGAAATAATATTTGCATTATTTGCCTGCCTGTTTTTTTGGGCAAACGCAACTCGAAGTGGGGGGAAAATCGGGAGCAATCCATTTCGCGGACAGGCAGCTAATTAGGCGATCAAGGACCGCCGGGGGCTGTCCGCCACGCCCCCCAAGCCATGAGCGCCATTAAAGGGGGTGGAAAATCAATAGCTCTATTATTTGGCAGAATGTCGACGGCCGAAACGAGGCGACTCAACTCAAGTCAGCGCCTGAAAGCGACTCGACTCCATTCGATGTGTTGATTGACAGCCTAATTGAGGTTTCTTGACTTCTTCAATCGGCGGGGGTAGGCCAATGACCGGTTTCTGTTCTGTTTGTGCTAATAATAATATTGTTGTTTTAATATCGGGGCAGCTGGGGGAAGAACAACACCAACAGCTTGTTTAGTTAGTCATTAGGCCGGGGGTTAGGACAAAGGACCCACACTCCGACCCGCAACACATTAAATATTTGCCGAAACTCGCACTTGATGGCCATTGTGTTGGGACTTCCGTTTTAATTTTTTATTGATTCAACTGTTTAATGTCAATTGCTGTGCAAATAGCAATCAAACGCTTGGCTTACGCAATTAAGAAGCAAATATCCCCATCCGCAGGCACTTCCCCTTCCTAATTAGCATTTACATTGCGTGCAACATACTGCAAGACATAAAATTAACGCCACATCGAAGTGTCCTGTTCCGTCCTTCGTTTCCGCCCCATTGAATTGATTCGCAGCCTTTAATTTGAATTTTGGGCAAGCAACTCCACGGAAAGTACTCCTCGGATAGTCATTAAAAAGTCTGAGTGGCCAACAGAGCCCGGCTATTCACAACTTTTTGTTCTGGCCAACTTTCAAAGGGTTGATTGAACTCTTTATTCGACGAAAAAATAAAGCAGCTCTCCGCCGCCGAACAATACAGAAACCTGGTGAGAAAAGTTTGCAAACATTTATTCGTTGTTTGGTTCAATGTCCAATTGATGGGAGGTCTGAGAACGCCGCCTGACTTCCGTTTGTGCACTCAATTATGTGGCAAATCAATTCGAAAAAGTTTTCCCATTTTCTACGCAAATTTCAAGTAATTTCATAATACCCTAAGAAAGGATTTCTCAGGCAATAAACGTGTTTGGTTTAAAATCATCAGATTTAACCACTTTCCATTCGAATTCAAGCATTCGATTTATTCCTTAATAAAGTGCAGGCCCGCAAAGAGTTGGCCAAGAAAAACTATCAAGCCGGAATAATCTTCTACGGAAAACAGCTTTCGAGTGTTTTAAAATGATTTCGAGTGGCACATGAGTGCTGCTTCAAAGGAACATAAAAAATTTCAAGCCAGCGCGATATCCGTTTGTGCTCATTCAAATCGCATGCAAAAACTATCCAGGATACTTTTTGGCACTCACACAAGTGCAAACACCAAGGAGTCAAGGCTTGGAACTGTTCCAGATCTGCCGAAAGCCGGGTGCTTGCAAGGGGAAAGGACGAAGGACGAAAGGAAATCCAAGCCGAGAACGGAAGCGCATAGCGCTGAAATAAAGTGTTGCATACTGTTCGGGGCAACAATAATAAAATATTGCATATTTTGCGGCCAAGCAAAATCCAAGGCGAGCAATCCGTTTTATGGCACTTGGCTCGAGCATATTTACTTAATCCTTAAGCCTGCAACAATATTATTTATCGCACAGCCTTGGCACAGATTTGAATCGACTTGGGGTTTATATATTTATGAATTTAATAGAAATAATCTTAGAGGCTTTTTCGTAAATATGATACTTTGAAATCTTTTAGAGCCTCTAAAGTTAAGGTAGGGTATTCCAGTCGGTGTTGCCTTAGAGGTTTGTGCTCCCTGCTCCTTTCCTTAGTTCTTTATGCTCAGCTGGCTGCGACGTCGCCCTTTCCAACGGTCCTCTGTTTCCAATTTCAAAGTAAAACTTTAATGGCAACAAATGCTGCCCCGCCAGGACCAACGCCATTTTATATTTGATATTTTATTACGTTACATTTCCCTGGCTTATTACATTTTGGCTTTTAAGCTGTTGACACAACTTGATTTCCGTGCGACCGGGCTTTTCCGGCTGGCAGTGGAATGGTAAATGGGGAGTGGAAAATGGGGAAAAAGAGAGAGTGGCCTGGTCAGTTTCCGTACATCCGTACATCCGCCCACCCGTCCAACCGTCCACTTGCAACTCGTTTTGTTTCAGCTCGCCCCGTTCAGACAATTTCGCTCTGGGTTTTCACTTTTTGGAAGTTGGACGTCTGCCGGCTGACCCAGAAACAAAGTGTGTCTAATGGGTTTCTGTTATGTTTTTTGACATTTTGGGAATAATGTTTCCGCTTCCGGTTTAAGGTGCGCTGCGCCTGTGAACTCGCCTTCTCGTATTTGCTGCAATTTCCGTCTCTCTCTCCAGCTGGGCCAGAAATAAGGTCAGCTCTTAAGCTGGGGGGGGTGGAAAAAAGGGGGAGGGAAAAAAGCGGTAAGGAGAGTCAGCGGGAAAAAGTGAAAAGTCATGGAAATTTCCGCCCTTTGCAAATGCCGTTGCCTTTGCCATTCCCCGCACGAGATCAACATCAAAGATGTGCCATTCCGATACTGCCAGCTAATTTCAGCGCCGTAAACATGACAACCTAATTATTTTTTCCATTCCACCCACTCGGCACTCGGCACCGCAGACTGTGCAGCTGTGATTAATGGAGAAAGCAGCTCCACTGCGACATTTGCATACGAAATTGAAAATAAATATTTGCACTGATAAATAAAAAGAAAGAAAGCGAGCGACGGCACAGGGAGCGCTCGCTAATTGCACTTTGACTTCTCGAGCGCGTCCTTTCGCCATGTAAAAGCAGCGAAAGAGATTCGACTGAGAGATATCTTGCACTCGTTGCATGGTTGTAGAGAAATTAGTTTATATAACTGGGTGAGATAGTAATATAAGGAGTCTTTAAAATTAAAAGTAATTAGTTTGCTTGGCAGTTTGTTTGATTAACTGTGGAATAGGTAATCTCTGAAGCATTTAAATGCCTATCTGTACCATTTACATATTGCATATATATTCCTCTATATATTCCCTCCTGATATACCCTTATATATCTTTCGAATACCGCTCACTTTTTCGTAGATACAAGGACAGATGGCTCGCGTCTGGCGCAGGAAAATTAGCAAAGTAATTCACGACGCCAGCTGAGGAGCCTTTCGTCAGGACCTTGAGGCCTCTTCATGTCAGCAGACAGGACACGTCTGTAGGGTGCTCGATGTCCTCGCTTTGCGCGCTTTCCTCGCTTTCCCTCCTGCTTTCCCCGCTTGCTTTCCCTTTTCCCCGAGACTTTCCCGCTGCCTTCCGGCTGTCTTCGTCTTTGGCGCCATTTGATTAATATCTACTTGCCGCTCGACGTCCTGTGATTGTCTCGCTTTATTTTCGACAATCGAAATTAATTGGACTGCTTGAGGAGGTCCTGTCTGCGCTTTGTTCTCAACTTTCGTCCAACACCTGGCGGCGTCTGTCAGGGTTAACTTTGCCGCGGAATCTGAAAAAGGACCCACAAAGCCCGGGGCTTCGTCTGCAGGGACAACGAACGCAAAGCTCAAAATGCGAAAATCAATAAATTTAATTAAAGCGGTTATTTAAAGTATCGGGAGGGAATTGCGCGACTTAAGGGATGTCATTAGAGCCGACGACTGGGGAGCGGATATATGTTTAATTTGATTTAAATTATGCTTAAATTAAATCGATTAAATTGTTCCTTTGGGTGTTACGTTATGTACTCGGGTACGTAGATTTTTTAAATAAATGTTTGGACTGATATTGATAAAGGCAAGACCAAATATTTTAGGCATTTCAAATCATACTTCCAAAATAATGCGTATCATAAATTCATTTAAAGTCCCTTAGGGAAAACTGAAAATTATGTTCAAATATGCTTCGATAATTTAGCACAATTCTTCTGGGCTTACACTAAATATAGTACAAATATTAGCATCCATATTTTACTCTATTTGCTCCATTTCTATTTATGACACCACGCACAGGTTCCCAAAAATATTAACACAGATGAGTTTGCATAGATACTCGGCTATTTTAATCGAAAATCACTTTGGTATTTTTGGGGAAATCATTATATTTAAGAGGCATATTCCGGCAAACTATCGCTTTCGTCCTCGACATTGCCAATCAGTTGCATCCCCTGGGCCAGAGAGCCCATTATCCCCCCGGCAAATGATGGCCATTCATCGACCCTCCCGCCGATGTATGTATATATAAACATATTCCGTCTCTGTGTATTCATATATACTATTTGCGGGGGCGTCATTATCGTTATTAGAGCTCATTAGCAGCGTCATTGCGAGGGCACTTGTATGGGTTCTCCTCTTCCTTCAAAGGAGGTTTGATGTGTGTATGTGTGTGATGTGAATAGCTCAAACCATATAAGATTTGGGTATGGCAAAAAGCTGGGATTGAATGCGAGCTAATTTGGTTCTGGCAAATCGGGGTCTTGATTGAATGGAAAGCTATTATCATGCCCGGCCTATTTGGTAATCCAAGTAAATTCGATTCGCAGGGGCTACTTGGGATGTGGAAAAGGGATTACGGATTGTATAGCTTTCCCTGGCTTTAAATCCGCTTTTAATTAGCGTAAGACCTGATGAACACAACCGCAAATTGAACCTGGCGAAGATATGAACAAGAGTTTTGCCAAATCCGCTATCACCAACAGAAAAACCAAGGAAACCCGCCGCGAAGTTCTGATGGGAAATCACTGGGAGAAAAACAAAAGCTTCTTAAGTCAAAAACTCTTTAAAGGTTGGTTTCCTAATTTCTTTGTAAATTAGTCATCTTATAAATGCACTGATCCATTTGCAATTGATTTACCCCAGTGGAATGCAGTTCCCCTTTGTGGGAACCATTGTCATTTGCAAACGGTGCGAACTTAATTCCTGTTATCCGCTCGCCTTCCTTTACCTCAATCCATAGCTGAATCTGTGTCTGAATCTGAGTCCGAATCAGGATCAGAGTCGCAGTAGCCCTCTCCATCGCCATCGCCATCGGAATCAGAATCAGAATCGCAATCGCAGTGCACATACGTGGACCAAATGCCTGCCGGAAATCGTCTGCAGTGTGCGAGATAACAATTTTCGTGTCCTGGCCAACAGCCATGACTGTTCAGCAGCCGCTGGAGTTGGTCCGAAAGTCCACCCACCGAACAACCAACCAACCGACCCACCAACCACACTCATTACTCGTAATGGCGCTGATGGTGATGATGACAACAACGCCGCCACCAAAAACGGGAGAATGGAGAGTGGAGATGCGGATGGGGATGGGAATGGACGGGATAAGGAATCCGGGATGGAGGTATTACAATGGGAATGCCATTGCCGTATTCTGCATTTCAGAGCTTGTGTACCCGTGCTGCATGTTCCCGGTTTCGCTTGGCAGGACGATCCAGAATGTCCTCGTAACATTTAATTTCCGTCAACGCTCGTCGGAGATTGGGAAGGGGACAGAGGGGTGAATGGGGGGTTTGGAGGGGGGAAAGCGGTTTATAGATGGGCTCCACGTAGACACAACATGTCTGCGGCTAATATAAAGCGAAGAATGCCATGACAAACGAGTTGAGCCAGAACAGACACGCTGACCACAATGACATCTAGAGAGCCAGAGAGCCAGAGCTACAACAATGATGACGAGGACGATGATGGCGACATTTGTCCAGGCGAGGCTTTTCCATTCCAGTCCATATACCAGATACCATATACCATAGACCATTCCATTCAGGACATTTCGCTCCACTGCGGCCATAATCATTAGGCACGTGCGTCGGGTTTGTTTGCATGCAACAGTTTTGATTGCTGATTGTGCAGAGGTAGTCGGATAATTCGGGTGGTTCGATGGCCGAAAATGGTGGCTTTTCGGGGAAAGTGATTTCCAATAAGGGCAATTATTCCCTAATAATCTGGTATCACTCCCGCCCATCGAAATGTATTATTTCTGCTTTTTCCCCACACATCCAGGCATCATCAACAGAAACGAATAATCAATTTATGTTTGATTAAGTGCTTTGATATATTGTGGTACTAATTAAATAACTGCTCTTTAGAATTTAAGTACAGAGGTATTTAAAGAAAAACATTCCTTACATGAGCCTGAGAAATGCGAAGCAGTAAGCAACAAATTCTTGGGATTCTTGGCAAAATAATTAAAGCTCAAAATTCCCTTTTAAATGTGCTTACACAATTTCAAATGCCTTGCCACCCGCCTTACCTTGAATACGAGTATGCTAACAAAAAATTAAGTAATTAAATCGTGCTTAAGGCCATCAGCAACGGCAGCAGCAACAACAAAAACAACAGTACGGCAACAAGAGCAGGATAAAAAAGGAAAATATGTAAATGTTGTCATAACGAAAATGCCGCAGAGAATGGCCCATCTGGACGAGTCGAAGGACCTGCCTCCGTCAGGATTAAGTGCTTTGTTCTTGCCGTTGCTGCAGGAGGCTTCGAGAATGAATTTCAGCATATATTTTATGACACTCGACTTTTATATTTATATTCTGACTGTCTGACTGTCTGTCTGATCCTCTCTCTCACTCTCTCTCTTTTGCAGCATGCCGGTGCCGCTGTGCCACAAGGACTACGCAGGACTCGCCGGCTGCTCGGCACTCGCTTTCGTCCTGTACCTAAACACACTTAACGCTGGATTTGTCTACGATGACAGGTGAGAAAAATTTAACCGAATTAAAAATTCCATATGTCAGCAGGTTGACGAAGGTAAATGGTTTGCTTTTGGGTGTCCTGGGTCCTTTGGCCTTTCTACTCCATTTTTTGGGGATGGCCAGAAGCAACGTTTTGTCGCCAGAAAAACGCAGAAAAAAAGGCCGGCGAAAAATACAAAAGTTTATTATTAATTGTGCGCCAAGTGCCGCCATTTATTTGATAAAATCACCATCATAAATTGTCGGCCCGCCTAATTGTAAAACTTGAAGCAGACCAGTTGCTGGCTTATCGCTGGGGAATTGTTGATATATATGCGGCCGATCCAGTGCCATTGTCAGAGTCAGACGGCTATGGCTACAGCTATAGCTGTGGCGATGGAGCAAATTAAAAAACAAAATGTTGATTTATGCCCCCCGAGCTGGGACGACGTCTCCTTCGCTTCTCGCACTCACCTGGCCGCATTGAAATGCTGCAAACGCAAACGAAATTACCCATAAATATCAAAAGTCATGTACAATGGACAGGAATTTCCCCAGGGACTCGCCCAGCTCCTCCTCGTTTACCTCCCCCTGGCCTCCTCGATACAATGGTCTAGCTTTGCCTTCAGGATTCAGGAGTCAACCCGGCAAACAAGTGACTGCTGTTCTGCTCCAGGTTCAACTACAATACTACAATGCCGGCGAACAATTGTCCTGCAGGAGCCGGGGGGCCATCGAGTGGGCCGAGTGGCGAGTTATGCACTGAGTGCTCAGCTCGATGCCTTCGCTGTAGCTCGTTATTTTGTGCTGTCCAGAAAACAAGCGCAAAACTTACCGCCCCACTCACACACTAGCAGACACCCTTACACACACACTCGCAAACACACACACTCGAGCGAATAATAAACGCAACTTATGTAACTCAGCTTCCCCTTTTGGCCACACGAAAAGTTGTGTACGAGTTTATGTTTTTTGCTCGGGCGGAAGGTCCTGCGGTCACTTTCACGCAGTTGCCAACACCAGTTGAAGTTGGACTTTGGTCCTAGCAGAGAAAAAAATTATTGAGAGTCATAATAGAATATTTCTTAATATTTTATAAGACATTTTTTGTTACCCAAAGGCCTTTTAAATTGAAAACATAACATCCCCAAATAAATTTTTTCAAGTTTTTAAGCTTTCAAGTTTTTGCGGAACCTTTCAGACTTTAATCTCTGTGTAGTTCCACCTATCGACTGGTTGTTTCGCATGCTCGGCGGTCATCCCACAACATGGCCACTGTGACCACACGAGCACAAGTTATTATTGTCAAGCCCGGCCAGACAAAACATGATTTATTAAATGGCAGAATTCCCTTCAATTTGTTTCCTATCAACTGGAAAAAGAGCAATGGCTCGGCTTGCTGAGGGCAAGGAAAATGTTTTTGGCATTAGGAAAGCTCTGCTGTTGGCAATTGTTAAAGAGAGATATGAGATTTTAATAAGTAATGCTTGGGAACTTTTTGACAAAGTGTTCTGCTCAAGAAGTTTGCCAATAATTGAGCTAATGGGATGTAATTATGTGTGATCGGTGGCAGCTCTATAACTTAGAAACTTGTATAAAACGTATTTAAACTTTTTAAAGAGTGCTTTGCACCTTTGGGATCCCTGACTTTTTAATACCCCTCCGCGGGGTATTATAATTTTAGCCAGAAGTTTGCAAAGTAGTGAAGGAGACATCTCAGACCCCATAAATTAAATATATTCTTAATCAGTACCATACATCTGAACCGATCAAGCCATGTCGGATTTTTTTTTATTTCTCAATTGTTTTCAACATAGTGACCTAAAACTGGACATCCAGAATCCATATCTTTGTTAATTTTTATCAGATTTCAAAGTGGCATACCTCTTAACATTTTTAGCGCATCCGTGATAAAACTATATTCAAAAGTTTTTATTTTTAGATGGTCGAAATTTTGACTTCTGTCCATGTCAGATTTTTCTGAGTTTTCAATGGTTTTCATCGTAGTGACCCAAAACTAGACTTCCAGAACCTATAACCTTGTCAATTTTAATCTGATTCCAAAGTTACATACCTTTAAACCCTTCTGACGAATTTCCTTGTGAAATTAAATATGTATGAATTTAAATGTAGCATTAAAAAATGTATAGAAAAATCGTCATAGCTTCGATATTGTTTAGCCTTTATGTACTTTGCTCGACATTTTTGATGACTGTAAGGGTAAATTAGTTTCGGGGAGCCGAAGGTAGCTTCCTTTCTTGTTGTTTATCCGATTCACACCTTCAAGTTGATATATTTCCATTTTCCCCAAAAAACATCCCCAATCTGCAGTCTTACAATAATTTATGTGCCGTATTAAAAGGACAGCGACAACAGCAGCAGCTCCGGCAGTAAAAAATCAACAACAGCAGTGGCAACGTTACGTATACGTAATTTTGATGGCACACAACCACCGGACGCTAGGCGCACTTCACAAACGATGGGTGGATGAAGAGAGGTGTGTTTGCCACCGGAGTAACAGAATTTTGTGCTCTTTTTCTTGTAGTACCTATATAAAATCGAAAATTTTCACTTTACATAAGCACAACGGCTGCAACAAATACAAATGTTGTGGGTAGCCAGGAAAATGGGGAAAATGGGGAGGGGGGAGGTGAAACGGAGCGAGCCGGCTCGGAACGGAAGGCAAGAATGGTGTCCACATTCGGTGCTGATGCTATGATATATTGTCTTCAACAAAAGCCAACCACAGTCCTGTTTGGCTGTCCGGGCTTTTGTGTGTGGGTAATATGAGTTTCACAGTGGACTGGGAAGCTTGAGCACTTTGGCGTTGAAAATTCAAATTATTGTCAGCAAAGATTATTTTGAAAAATATTTTGTCACTCACTGATATTGTAAATAAATCGGATTATTATTTGAAAGCAGTGTAAGGAATATTGCTATTTATTTTTGGTTGTATCACAATACAATACAAATTACAAATAAGCAAGTAAATAGAAAGTTAGATACATTCAGATACATATGTATCACTTGAATTAGATTATGTGAGAATATAAATTTATTAATATTAAAAACTAATTTAACCCATGAGTTTCACTGTGCATCGCATGTGTGTTGTGGCTTGTTCCTATTCGATTGCCTGAGACTCTGTTCCTGCTCCTCTTCGTCCACCTCCTTCATCTCCACCTCCCTCTTTGTCCACCTCCTACGCCTCCCCCTCCCCTCCTTTTCAGGATCCTGATCCTGTTCCTGGCCTCCTGCTCGAGTTGAGAGTGAAAAGCGAACGATAACGGCAGCAACATGCCGCACTTGTAAGCTGCTTGAAGCCTGCCATTGTTGTTGTTGCTCCTTCCCACCGCCCACTTACCGCCCCCTTTTTCTCCCTCCCCCCTCCCCTCTCCTCCTGTTGCCTGCTATGCCGCTGACAAAGTGCCCCCGCTGCTGCTGCTGCTGTTGTTGTTGTTGTTGTTGGTTGTGGTGCCCCTGCTGTCGGTGGGTGTTGATGTTTTGGTTGTTGGCCCTGCGATTGCTATTCATTTACTAGTTACGATGATAAAGCACAAAAAAAGGGAACTGCGGAAATTCTGCTGATGACGATAATGTTGACGCTGACTTCGAGGTGACTTCGCCGATGTTCGGTGGGTCGGGAATTAAGCCCTCACTCCCACTTCCATTCCGTACTCCCACCCACACCCGTAATGCCCGCAAGTCGAGGACTTTGTGTGTGCATCCGCCTCGAGGTATGCAATGAAATTTCTTTTCAATATTTGAACGTTACCTTGGCATCGGCTGGCTTGCAAATGAGGCGTAGAACAATTTTCGGTTCGTTTATGTGACGTGGGAAGCTGGTAGACGCTTGAGGCCCCGAAATAGAACAGGCATTACCCAGCATTTAGCCGCAAGGCACATCCGCAATACAGCAACAGCCACAAGTTTAGGAACCGCATAAGAAAAATAATAAATATTATCATTAATTGAATGTGCTATCAAAACAAATTGAAATACATAATATTTAAAATACATTTTTAAATTCTTTTTAATTAAATTGAAAATAAGTTGGCTTTGGATGTCAAGTTCATAAATATATTAAATATTTTATTTTTTAAATATTTATATTTAAAATAATTTTAGGTAATAACAAACACATACCATCTTTTTTAACCCCCACTGTGCGTTTGCCATGCGAGTCCTTCCCAACTTAGCAGCTCCTTCATCTGCGCTCTGTGCTTTTGCTTTGTGCTCTTCCGATAAGAATTTGTTTGCTCTCAAGGACATTTTTGTGGCTGCTTTGGCCCGAACTAAAAGGGATCGGCTTGGGGGCGGGGCTTCGGAATGCCAATTGAAATTGAAGTGCAGATGAGTGGGCTCCCACACCCGCAAACCACTCACAGAAAAAGGCACCAGCGACGCAGGTCCTTGCCAATAACTCTGCTTTATAGTTTGGCACGTCTCCCCGGCGAATTCGTAAACCCAATTTGTGGCGCCACCCACCTTTCCTGCAGCGCCACATCCTTTTTATTACCATATTCCGGCATTGAAAGAGCTGCACACACACACACACGCACCACACACACGTGCAATAAACCCTGCCACAATTCATATTTCCGGTCACCCGTTCCACGGCTTTCAAATTCGAATGATAAATAAAATATTAAATTGAAAACCGAATTTTTATTCAAAATGCTTTCTAACTTATGTGTTTGCACATGACTTTTCTTTGGACCTTTCCCCCTACAGTTGCCTTCAGGCTTCGGCTTCGTTTGCACAACCTTTGAACTTTGTGCACCCCAAAAGACCCTAAAACTACAGCCCGAGGCAGAAAAAGCCAAAATAAATATCTCTGCACACAACTTGATTATTTAACAAGCTGCAACTTAATTTCCAATTCAAGTTTAGACGCTATTCCTTTACAGAAATGTTATTAAAAGAATTTTAAGAGCAGTCTTAAATGTTTCTGTAATCAAATTAAAATTGTGTAATTAATAGTACTACAAGCTACATATTTTAAATAAATATCTAGTACTTTTTTCTTTGCTAACAACCAGTAATTAATAAACAAATATATTAACAGAGAGCCATTTGTTTCCCCCTTGAGTTATTCGAGTAATGAAATCAGGTGACATTGATAGATATATCGATGCAATATTGTTAGGGGCCAAAATGACCTGAAAACTTTGCCCAAAGCCCTGCGCAAAGTTGGAAAGTTAATTAATGGCATTTACTGGGGACATCTAAAAACTAATTATGCATAAAATGGCCAAGGTATTATTGCAAGCCCTCTATAAATATCCACAAACGGCGGCAACAACGCCGATAACAAACTAACCCTGATTATATGGCCACCTGACCCGGAGCCACTGTGCCGGCCAAATCGATTAGGACAACAAGGAGCGCTACAACGGCGAGCCAATTACCAAGGACGAGGGACGAAGGACGCAGGACCCCTCCCACACACACAGTGACAGCGTTCGTGTTGGTACACAGATATGGGTGTATGAGTGTATCGCACTGTGCTGTTTTACAACAAAGGCACAAAATACGCCAACAAATCGGCAATTAATCAAGCCGCAAGTGCGCAGAAGGGGGAACGAGGGGGCGGCAGCTGAAAAGAGGCGGGGCTGGCGGGTCAACTGTCGCTTGGCACTTTAACAATATTTATGCCGAGTGCAAAAACAAAAGGACAATAAAAATAGGCAGGCATGAACTCGATTGTGCTAGATGAAACAGAATATTCAATGCCCTTTCTTAAAGCATAAGTTATAATACAATATAAACTAACTAGAATGCGAAATAATAAGGTTCAGTATCAAAATGATATCTTTTACTCATCATTTGATATTTTAGCAGAACATTTTAATATTTACCCTTTTAAAACGAAGCTCCTTTCATAGTCAATGTACCCTACCCCAAACTTACTACCAATCTAAGTAAAAGCAAAATAAATAGGACAAGAGGCGCAGGCACAAGTGGTCCCATAGAATCCACAGCTCTCCAATTTCGTGTTGCAGGAAAGTCGAGAAGAAAGGAGTCAAGTTGAGGAGAAGCGGCCACTTTGGGTAACTGCAAAAAGGAGGAGTGAGCAGTGGGAAGATAGAGAAGGTCCTGCCTGAACAATTAATCATTTTAATTAATTGGACAGGTGTGCCACAGGTTGTCGTCGCCCGTTCTCAACTTCAACTCGTTGGTAATGTGAGCCGAGGACAACGACACACTTAGAACCATAAAATCAACATTAAATATATGGCTTGTTTTTACAAAACCAAAATTACGCCTGAGTTATAATTAACCAATCTCAAGGAATATAATTAGAAAAAGCTTATATTATTGTTAAGGAATAATTTCCAGAACCCAATTACTTTTATCTCTGTGCATCATCGTACATTTTTGTGATTTTTCCTTGCAGACGCGCCATCTTGGCGAACGGCGACGTGACAGGACTTCGTCCGCTGGCTCATCTCCTGCGGAACGACTTCTGGGGCACTCCTCTGCAGGACAGCGGATCCCACGGCTCCTGGCGACCGCTGTGCGTGCTCAGCTTCCGGCTGAACTTCCTGGCGGGCGGACTGACACCCGCGGGCTATCACCTGGTCAACGTGCTGCTCCACTGCGTGGCCACGTGGCTGGTCTTCCTGGTGGGACGCACCCTGCTCCCCTCGCGAATCGGAGTCCTGGCCGCCGGCGCCCTCTTCGCCGCCCATCCCGCCCACTCGGAGGCGGTGGCCGGACTGGTGGGCAGGGCCGATTTGGCTGCCTGCATCTGCTACCTGCTCTCCTACCTCTCCTATCGACGGCACATGCTGAATCGGGAGTGGGGTTCCCTGGTCCTCACCATTATCCTCGCGCTGGCTGCTCTTCTCTGCAAGGAGACCGCCATCACGGCGCTCCTTTTGTGCGGACTCTGCGATGTCCTCTTCGCTGTCAACAGGGAAAGTAGTGATAAGGTGAGATTTAATTTAAATACATATATAATAAATACTCAATAGCTAATATTTATCTGCATTATTATCCTTAACTATTTGTTCCTAATAAATCAATACTTGTTTTAATCTTTAGCACCGCTTCCGATCGCTCTCCATTCTGACCATAACCCTATTGAGTGCCGCCTACTGTCGATTAAGCCTGCTGCCACGCCCCTCTACCGCCTTTTCGGCGGCCGACAATCCAGCGGCCCATGAAACCTGCTTTTGGACACGGACACTCACTTTTTTGTACCTGCCAGTGGCCAACTTTCGCCTGCTTTTGTGGCCACAGGAGCTGAGTTTCGACTGGGGAATGGAGGCTATTCCGCGGATCCGGACACTTTGGGATCCCCGAAATATCCTGAGTGTTGGTTTCTACGGATCCCTGTTTACCGTGCTGTGGAGGAGATCCGGACTAAGTCGATCTACCGCGTCGATGGACTTTGCGGAAGTGGCGCACATTTCGCTGCCGCTTTTAAGGAGATTGGGCGGCAACAGCTGCCACAATTGGCTGGGACTCACCTGCGAGTGCCACCACCAGCTGGCCGCTCCCAGCCATCGTTCTGCGCCAGCCACCTGCTCGAAAAGCTCCTTCTGGCCGGGATCCTTCATGGGTGTCGCCTTCATTGTGTTGCCCTTTCTGCCCGCCAGCAATCTGCTCTTCTACGTGGGATTGGTTATGGCCGAAAGGGTGCTCTATCTGCCGAGTGTGGGCTATTGTCTGCTCTTCGGACTCGGTTTCGGCCATCTCTGGCAGAGGGTCAATAGCTGCAGGCGCTCCAAGATGATGCTTCTCTGCGCCCTGGGGCTGCTCCTCGGAGTCCACGGACTTCGCACCTTTCGACGCAACTTGGACTGGCGCGATGAGGAGCAGCTATTCCGAAGTGCCATTAGGGTTAATCCACCAAAAGGTGAGTGTAGTTTATACTGCTCCATCTTTATTTCTTTCCTGTAAACAGCTACGTTTTATCAGCCACGGAGTTTGGCCTACAGGTCGTATGATTAATATTTATTGGTTTTCTTTCAGTAGATTCATGAGACAATATTTATTTGCTATGAGTTGCTATTATATATATATTATAGATGTTAAGAATACTTATTTTTAATATTCCTGATACTATCATATATTTTTATATGACCTTATGGATTGTATGTGCATGTTAGTTATTCCAACTTTGTATTTTCTTCTATTTTCCAGCTCTGGCCAACCTGGGAAGCGTTTTGAGCGCCCAAGGCAGATACGAGGAGGCCGAATTGGCCCTGAGGACGGCCCTTGGACACCGGCCCTCCATGGCGGATGCTCACTTTAATCTGTGAGTAAACGGAGGCGACCATGTGGTGGCCCCCGAAAACCCTTTGCAATTCGAAGCGGAGCTCGCGCAACACGAAGCCTGAACACACAAAATGATGTCAGTTTTTGCCCGCGCGGCCCTTTCAAAATTCAAAAGCTCAAAGTGAATGGCAGTCGCGACCTTGGGCATTGGGTGGTGCAGTGGTTGGGTGGGTAGTGGGTGGCTTGCTCTCAGTTCCAAATGGCAGATGCCTCTGTAGTCGCTGCTCTGTTGCCTCTTCCGTTTGCCGGCAAAAACGTTCGGACAACATCTGAGAAAAAAGCGACAAAAAGAGGGGAAGTGGGCGTTTGGGTGGCTTGGATGGGTGGTTCGGTGGGTGGTTAAGACTGTCCAGATGCATCGCGCATACAAATCAACTCGGTCAGAAACTTTAGCTCCGGCGCAGGGGGCACATGTTTTGCATCTTTTGGATGGCAATTTGCATGCACTCGGCAGCCATCAACAGCAAATAGCTGCTGGTTTCCATTTTTTCCCCGCTCCACCGCCCACGGCCACGCCCCCTTCTATCCCTTCTATTGTACTCCTTTTGTACCTTTGTGGGGGCAACGGCAGCGGAACCTTTGAAACAATACGAGCGAAATGAATGCGAGAACCATTGCGCAGCCTAATCCCCTGCAGATATGCTGTTAATTAGGCCAAAACTGAATGGGTTTTCGAGTGGGCCTCAGATTCTTCGAGATAGCCGGGATTACTGGCCAGTTGCTAAGTACACATGGAGTTCTAATTTGCAAGGGGGCTCGTGCTCCACACAAATGGGAACCGAGGAAGTTCAGAGTGGCTAGCCGTAATATTCGCAAACATTAGAACTAGAATTTCTAGGGAAGAGCAAAGGGTTTTCAGAGCACAAACAACGGCTTAGCCTTCGTTCGTAAATCCTTAAAACTCACAATAAAGCAATGCAGACTCAGAAGTCCCTAAGCATCCCAGTTTATATCCAGATTTATGTAATCTATTTTGTCTGCGATCCGTTCCCCATAAAGTCGCACACGTACATCACGCATCAGCTGCGAAATTGCATTCTTCGGCATTCTGCAACTATTTCGCTGTCTAACGCAATAAATAAACAGAAGCCCCGACATACTATACATAGAAAATGTCCTAGACAAGCAAATCAACAATAACATACGAGTATCTGCGATTGTTATGGGAATCAGAATGAAAAACAGTAACAACAAAGGGGAAATTGGCATTTCTGCTTACAAGCTGCACTTGATGCAACAATATGAGAAAATAAAACTGCTGACGCATGACGTCGGCATCCTGCTTATCCCCCCGCTTTTCCCAGCCGCTTTTCCCGCTTCTCCCTCTCCATCCAGCGATTTCCCGGGGCCAATGACACTGCTCCTTTGGACACACATCGCATAGCAGGCACACTCGCAGCCAGCTTCGGATGGTCGTAGAGCAATTTACTCGTTGCATCGACGCTAACGGCGACCGCCAACTGAGAACGCTGGGCGCAGACTTTCCCATCCCGGAAAATGGCCCAGTGTCCCCGGGGATTTGGGTAGCAGTTTGCCTGTAGGAGAGCACGAAAAACCCAGGGCAGTTACTATGCATTACGAGAGAAGCGCAAACATGCCAACGCTTAACGAATAGCACTCGACGCCCCTTGGAAAGGCACCCTGGGTGGAAAAGTGGAAAAGCGGAAAAGCGGAAATGCCTGTCCAAAAAACGGGAGCTAATGGAGAACTCAATTAATTTCGCAATCAATGAGGAGAGAACTATGACAACCAATCTAGTTGACAGAGATTCTGCGTACATAAATATGGATGGGATAACAAAAGCATTTTCTACTTATTTTGTTCAACATTCCTCTCAAATAAACACATTTTATTATCATTCGATATTGAATATATATCAATAATATAGTAAGATAACTTTTAAAGCTTTACATATTTACGTAGCTTGCTGTCTGAGAAAAAAACTTAATATTTATTCCATTTTTGAATCAATTCACTAAGGATTAGAAAAATTATAGTTTACATAAATAGTTATCTTTGGTGAAATATTTTGAAAAATATTCTTTTTAAACCACTGTTGATTTGCCGTGCTGACTGCAGCACTCCCTTTGAATATGCAGGACGTCATTTCCACTGCCGGCCGCTCCTCTAGCAACCCATAGTCGCCCCAAATCGCCGCATGTCCTTGCAGGGACTCGCTGGCAGCGTTGCTCATACGCCCAGTTGTCACTATTGTTGCTGCTTTCGCTCGTTGCTGCTACTGCCACTGCTGCCGTCGCCTTGCCGCTTGTTGTTGATTATTGTGTTTGACATAATAGGCTTTACGCTCCAAAAAAGGAGAGCAAAAGACGCACCGAATAAATCCTTTCGCTTTGCTTCCTTGGCAAATTGTAGGTAAATCCCCCTTCGCTCGCTTGCCAAGTCATTTTTCCAGCTTCCCGCTGGGGAGACGAAAAAAAAAAAGCTCTCCGAGGAGCAGCCCAATACAAATAATTGCTGAGAACTCCCGGGAGCTACGGACAATGGCAGCAGCTGGGGAAACGGAACGGAATCTTCCACCTCATCCGTGAATGGCGTAATCGTTCTACGCCGAATTGCCTTCGTTTCTCCGGAAAAGTAAAGGCTAAAACTATGGAAAACCGGGAAACTGGCAGGGGAAAAGCGTCGCTGCAGTGGGGCATTTAACCCCGTGAGTGTATTAAGCGCTCTGTTTCCATGGAAGCCCAATATGCTGTAATTCCGTTTTCCTCATTTAAATAAATACTCGGCCAGAGCGTTTTGTTTTACTCGTTACTCTGCGATGAAAAAGCCTCTTTAAACTGCTTATTTGTGCGGCTGTGTTTATATATGAGCGGATTATCGGCTTATGGGAGACTGTTACATTAATGCTCGTATTGACGATTATTTTTTACAAGAATTTTCGTGGTCTCTTTTTGCATTTCTAATAATAAGTGACTGTGGCTTAAAAAAATATTGAAAAATGTTATATTTGTTGCTCAACGAAACGTGAAAAATACATGTACTGCTAATGGAAAAGAAAATACGAAAAATTCTTCTTTAAAATCCAACAGATTATTTAAAAAGCTTTAAACTTAAATCGGAACCATTAACATTATTTTTAATAAATACAAATTCTAAAAACATGATAGGTTGTCCAACAATCATTAGATAATGTCAAAGTATCCCGGCCTTTCTTGATCGCATTTATTAACCAGACTTTTCTCCATTTACTTAGCCACTCTAATTGGGTAACAAGTCCCTGGGGCAAAATATACAGCCGCGCCGCAATATCTTTCATAATCCTCGGGAAAGTCGCTTGTAAAAACCGAGAGAAAGCCAAGAAAGGAGCTGAAAGAAAATACAACTGTTGACGGCTTAGATAAAATTTCAAATAATGTCAATGACATAAAAGCAAAGCGCGAACTTCATAACTGCTAGGGCTTCGCTCGCCTGCAGGTTATTAACTTGGCTCAAAACGATACACGAGCCGCTGGGAAAATGGGTGGTTGAATGGCGAATGGAGAATGGAGAATGGCTCCGGATCCGAACCCGGATCCCTAGCCGTTGGCACATTGGCCTCTGACCAAGTCCAAAGTGGCGGGAAGCCCAGGCGGAGATTTCATTTTAGTGCTCTGAAAGTTTAAAACGCTTTTCCCACCCACTTTCACCCACTTTGGCAGCCCAAGTTGCCTTTGCAGCTTATCGAAAAGTTGTCTGATTGAATTTTTGCCCTGTCCACTTGCAGAATGCAACGGAGGCAGCCTCTTTTCCATGGCCTCCGACTTAGTTACACTATGCAAAAATCGGAATCAGATGGAGTTTGGAATACTCAAATAATTTTATATGGTACCCTTAAAATAATTAAATAAAGTAAAAGACTATTATAAGCATGCAATTAGTATTGTAAACTCTTTTACATTATTTGTATTATTTATAATTAGTTCTGTATGTAAATAAGTGCCTTAATTTTCCCGTAGTGCACAGTTGCTAATCTAAAAGTCAGAGGAGGAGATTGAAACATTTACATTATGAAAGCTTTAAGAGTTTGCCAAGCTGTGAAATTTTGATGGCTACGTGGGGAGCCAGAGCCTTCCGTTTTCTAATCGAAAATCAATGGCAGGTGCCCTTCGACCCCTGAGTTAACCCCCCAATTCACCAATCTAGCAATCTAGCAATCCCCCAACCACCCTTTAAGCCAAAATTGGAGCTCCGGGGTGCCAGTGCGTCGCGGATAAGCAGCTGTTTGTACATTATTTACTCGTAAGCCATCAATAGCCGGGATATCTCTAGCCGGCACCTTGCGCCCTGCGGCAACGGATCCCCAGAACCCAGAGCCCAGATCCCGCCACGTGCCGCCTGCCGGAACATAAAGCATCCATCTATCCGTCCTGCAGCAGTAGCAGCAGCAGCAGGTCCTGTTGCTCCTTGCCACTGCCACTGCCACAGCCGCTCCTTGCTGCGCCAGTCAACTGTCAGGGATTTGCTGTGCCGTGTGTTTGTTGCTGTGCCTGGCGAGGCTGCTCTGATTTTTAGCTGCAAAATGCCACAGCAAAGGATAAGTTGAGTGCTGGCTGATGGCTAGTGGGTGGTGGGTGGTAGATGGTGGGTGCTTAGTGGTGGGTGGATGGCGGGAAGTCAAAGTAACAGGCAGCCAAACACCAAAACCAAAAAATCACTGAGCTGTATAATTCGATTTCTCGTTTTCACTCTTTCTGCTCGTTTTATTTTCGTTCTGTTGCTGTTTGCTTACCTGCACAAAGAAAAAGGGAAAAAATACTATAGGGTGGAACAACCGAATAAATAGAGAACAACATGGTTTGTTTTTCTTTTGGCCCGACTGGAATATAGTATAAAATAGAATACTCAATATTCAGTTGAGCAAATCCATGCGTTGTTCGGTTGCAATTCGCATGCATTCACTTGGCTCCTTTTTCGGTTGTTTTCCACTCTTTTTTCTCGGTTTTCCTTCTTTTTTTTTTTTGGTTGTTGGGTTGCACCCCCAAATGCAGCATACAAATTCGGTACTGGGGGATACGATTCGGGAGTGAAATTGTGGGCAACGAGGGATTTTCAACATGGAACGTCGAATGGCTGCTCATTCGAAAATAAAATTTAAACAAATTCAGCTCTGCATGCGGCGGCATATGCGAGTGTTTATTGAAAAGTTTACACACTACACACACCCTCTCCAGAGTCCAGTGTCTGTTGGAAAAGCTAATCGGTGAATCCGAGGGGTCCGGTATGCAAATTGTTGAGTAAAATAGGGTTTAGGGTTTAGCTTGTGGAAAAATGTTTATATATTAAAAGTCATCTCAGGGGAGCAATATTTATAGGCCTCTTGTTTCTTTTTGGGATTATTTTTTGGAAAGGTAAATAAGTGAATAATATAAATATCAATAAATGCGGAAAGTCTAAAAATACTTTTTCTGAGCAGCAATGCAAATATTTGCCGATACACTTTGAATTTATAATGATTACACAAATCCCTGTTCCAGATTTTACATTCTCAAACATATAAATATACTTTTTTTTATTTTAAAGATATATTTGATATACTTAAAGATATAAGCAGCCTGTTGTCAAAAGCCAGACTCTTCACAATCCGCCCTCTTGTTGGTTTTATAGCCTTGTCGCTACTCAACACAAATTTCAGAGCGCGCAGTTTTGTTTGAATTATTTTGTTGTTTTGTTGCCGCTGCAGATGTGGCTGGTTTGCAGGAGCAATCTGGGCTGGGGTTTATTTTGCACCGCTCCGTATCGTATCGTTACATTCCTCCGGAATCAAAACGCTGCCTTTATTTAGAATCACTTACCCATGCATACGATCCGGGGAAACTTTCTGTTTCTGTTTACATTGGGGGCCTCAGACATCCGGGCTTGAATGGATAACTACCATGCGACGACTGACAAACGTATGCATATATGCAGAATATTTGCTTGACAAGCGGCTGTACATTTATTTAACTGCCTTAAAGAGCTGCCCGTTGATTAAATGAATCCGGCGAGAGTCAGCTTGAAGGTCAGCAAACTCCAATTAACCAGTGGAAACCGCAGCAAAGCAAACTGAAAGTTAATTTACTCCCAACTCCTTTAGAGGCTGCAGTCCGGTTCTTAAGTAACTTCGCTTTCTTGGTTTTTTTATGCTTTTCTCTTGCATATTTTTTAAACAATTTTTTCCTCCAATTCCTCCCACTGAGTAAAGGGCAAAAAACTATGAAAGTTGCTGCCAAAAGTGCAATTCCTCAGATATTCAAGTGCGTTCTTGGGTGGCAAGGAAAATCTTAAATAAGAGAAGAGAACTTTAACATTTCTTCGCAGTTAAAGTTAGTTATAAGAAGAATAAATATTTAATGTTACCTGCATAATATTATTTAAAATTATTTAGTCTAATTTAATATGTATAATAATTTTTTAATATTTTTTTAGGGGCGTGGTTCACCAGAAGCAGCTCAACTTTAGTTCGGCAGTTCCAAGCTTTCGCAGGGCCATCGAACTGCGTCCCCAACTTTCGGTGGCGTACTTGAATCTGGGCATCTCCCTGATCTCCCTGGGCGACCATCGGCGAGAAGCCATCTCGGTGCTGCGGACAGGAGCTCGTCTGGAGGGCAACGGGGTTCGGGACCGAGGAGCCCACGAGGAGGCACGCTGCACCTGCTACCTGCAACTGAGTGTCCTTCTCCGCGCCGAAGGAAGACTTCAGGAGGCTGCATCCTCGCTGAGGGAATCCCTAAAAGCTCTGGCTTTGCTGCCTCAGAAGCAGAGGGCCGTGCTGCACCTGCGTCTCGGGGAAATCCTCGCGGAGCTGCAGGATTGGGATGAGGCTGAGCATCAGCAGAGATTGGCCCTGCAACTTCAGCCGGAAAAGGGAGCGGCCTACGTCACCTATGGCCAAACTCTGGCCAGAAATGTAAGTTGAGGATATCCAATTGTGATTAGGTAATAATATTCTATTGAACCCGCAGGGAAGTCGACTTGCTGAAGCAGAATCTTGGTTCAAAAGGGCCCTGCAGCTGGCTCCTTTGGAGGCCAGTTCTCATCACCATTATGGTAAGATAAAAAATAGTTAATATTTTTCTGTTACTATTTGGCATAAATATGCAATAATAAAATATGAATATTTAGGGAAATTCCTAAAATTATAATAATAATAAAATAATGTATTCTATATCTGTTTACTAATAATTAGTTAACCATTTATACTATTCCAGCTGACTTCCTGGAGCAGCAGGAGCGCCATCAGGAGGCTCTTAGTCTTCGTTTACGAGCTGCCGCCTTGGCACCCAACGATTACACCCTGCAATCCTGTGTGGCGGATGCACTGCGTCTGCTGAATCGCCTGGCAGAAGCGGAGTTGTGGTACCGAAAGGCTGTTACCCTGCAACCAATGGCTGCCCATGCCCATGCCAATCTGGGAGCCATCCTGCAGATGCGAGGACTCCGAAAGGATGCAGTGGAGTGCTATCAAAGGGCCTTGGAACTGCAGCCAGGACACGCCATCAGCAGGGCGAATCTGGCCAAGATGAATCTGCACAAGGATACCAATGAATAATGGTGAAAAGAATATATAGCTGTTGGAATCGTAGGCTTAAATAAATTGTAGATAGAAGAGAGCGCTATACAAATGATTGACATATATTTTTAATAATAAATAATGAAGAATATTAAAACAAGTTTATTGATTTTTGCATTCTTACTTACATGTTTATCAAATTACACACCAGATTCCCTAATATTTCGAACTAAATGCAGCATTTCAAAGTGCATTCCTCTCGACCACAATTAGTTAAGCCAGCATTATGTGAAAATGCCAATCTGTTGCCGGGGCAAATTCCTGAAAGCCAAACCCCCGCGGCAAATTATTTCCATATCAAGTGGCTGTGGGTTTCATCTGGGGAAACCGAGCCAGGTGACGGGGCCAAAACGCAGACAAAAGCCTGGCGAAACCAAAGAACTTGGGCGAATCGAAAACAGGGGCGCAGACAAAGTCAAAGGTCTCCGAGTGAAAACCTGTGGGTGGTTGGGTGGTTGAGTGGGTGAGTCAGTCAGACAGACAGACGACAAAGTGATAATATCAAGTGGCTCGGGCCAAAAGGAAAACCACAGAAACCAAAAAGGGGAGAAGGGGGTGAAAGGGGCTTCGGAGGCTGGGGGCTTCATGCGAGAAATAGTGCTTACTAAGCATTAAATTATAATTAAATTTTAAACAATGAAACTGAGTTGAGGAGCAGCGGGCCCCGAAAAAGCTCTTAATCACAAACATGCGCCGCCACTTCAAAGGTGAGTCCTCTCGTCATATCAATGTGGAAAACGCAGAACGGAAAACACAGAACGGAAAAGCGGAATGGAATTGGCCAGACCCAGACTTTCCGGCTAAGCATATGCGCATATAAATTAACATAGACACCCGGGTATTTAATTAAAATTCCATCAGCAGCAAACACAGGACTATGGCTCCCAGATATGACAGGTGTACGGGTGAGTATGGGGTCCAGGTAGACACACATTTTAGCGCTAAGCCGAGCAGATGCCCCTCGAGTAAATCCACCAAAAACCACACACACACACCATCACACTCACACACACCAACACACACACGGCCGGCTAAATCTGGGGAGCTCCTTTGGGCCCTCGTCAGTCGGGAGTGCAAACAATGGGGAATAGCCCCAAAACACACACAAACTCCAGCCACGCCCCCAATCCCAGAAACATAACCGACTGCGCCCCATCGCTGGGCAGCCCTTCAATAAACTGCACTGAGAACAGAGAATGATGCAAGCTCATACCATATATATATATCATAGTTAATATACAATAATCAACAATTATTTAAACGACTTTCATCTGCAAGTTTCAGTGATAATAATTTTGATATTTTAGTATTCTTAATTTACAAGCAAGTTACCAAAATTCTTGGCATATTAAATATGTTAATGGATTAATTTATAGCAATAGATCAAAAGTTCTTTCGAGTGTATCGATGGGCGGTTAGTTGGAAAACAGTTGGCGCGGACAAGTTGCCGCTGGCTGTGGCGCCTCGGCAGCCTCAATAGCGACTGATGAAGTGGCACTTCTAGCACCCCGTGCCCCAAACACAGAGCTCCGATGATTGCGATGACTATGACTATGATCGGGATGAGCACGGAATCCTAATTAAGTCTAAGCAGCCCGGTAAGGGGTTAAACGCCCTGAGAAGTGGGCGAGGGTCCACAATTCCATAATTAAATATGGATTCGAGAGATTCAAACTTAACCACCTGAGCCCTTTGACATTCAACAGATTTGTGCGTCTTATTTTGGGTGGAAAAGGAGAGGGTTACAAAGTGACGGTGGTCAAAGATTTGCAAAACTTTAAAACTAATTAAAACAGATTAAAAAATGTATGCTTTACAATTTGAAACCTTCATTTAAGCAAAAACTGGCTAACAATAAAATATTTATGAAATTGTTGGAAGGCATGCGTTGCACACTTGTTCTGACGAACAGTCATGTAACTTTTAATTAAAAACATTTCGTATTTACCCAAAAGCCTCAAAAAATCCACATCAATAGCCATGGCAATGCTGTTGCAATTAAGTTTTATAGTCAAATATGGCAAAACTTACAGACGTGACTATTCCGTACACAAAAAGCATAACCAGCTCCATATGGCTGTCACAATTTTCCCTTGGTCGTTAGTGGGTTCTGGTACAGTGGCACCCAACCCAACGGAAAAACCAACCAAAATGCCACCCGGGTGCCAAAATCCAAGTCGGCAACTTGCCCAATGAGTATTTAATGCGTCAAACTGTTTAAATTTCTATTGGATTTTTTGTTTGGACTTTCCTTTTGACTTTTGTTTTGGCCACAGATGTTGTTGTTATTGTTGTTGTTTCGGATTGGACAAAAAGTGACGCTCGGCTTTCAACTTTTTGACCATAGAGGATAGAAGAGAAGCTTATGCGAACACAGGACACAAACAGAAGCGACCAGGATACTAGTAGTTATCTAAGTTGATAAATATAATACTAAATAAAATATTTCGAACCCTTAGTATAAGTCAGTTTTAACTTTTGAAAGTTCTAATTGAAGCTATAGTTTATTTAGATGCAGATACGCTTTTTTAGCAGTCAGTTCTAATTGCAATCAAACTTAATCCTAACCATCAAACTTTTTATTAATGTATTAATATCAATATTATTACGGTTAATGTTATTATTATTTTGATCTATTATTATAGTAATATTTTCACCTTGACTGTACCTTTACACATACGTGCAGGCACTCCACGCAAATGGTCATCCTGTGGAACCATTTATTTTCCACTTTGGCCGAGAGACAAAAACAACAAAATCCAGCACACACGGAGATACCCGTACATATCGTACCATAGATATATCTCTCTATGCGGGAGGGCAATGGGAAGGGGAATCGGAATAAAAACTAAAGTAAAACGAAAAGTTTTTAGTTAGCTTTTGATGAGGGTCAACTCGAACTCAACGGGTCTGTGGCACAATTTTCAAGTGCCCCTTCTCCCAGCACCCTCGGCAGAACAAAAACGGAAAAAAGGATGACACACAATAGTTCGGACATTGTTTTTGACATGACTTTCTATCAAAAACAAATTTTCCCTTCTTTGTTCTCCTATTATTTTGTATATTCCATTTCCCGTTTTTTCATCACAAATCGAGGCGAATTCGAGGGGTCGAAGGGGGTCGGAGGGGAAAATAGCAGCAATCATTGGAAGTGGGACATTGACAACTTAATTTGTTGAATTTGTTCGCAGGTAACACCATAAACTATACAAAAAGCAATGGATTTTATATTCCGTTTTTTCCCAACGTATTTATAAACCTTTTCAATGGAACTTTAAACAAACAACTCTACTTTAATTACAAAAATATCTTTAATGCTCACCTGCCAACAGAAATCTCTTCTTTCCATCATTTATTTCCGAAATAAATAAACTGGAAAATTAAATCAAAGTTATGATTATCGTCATAACCGCTTCATATTTAAACCTTTTAATTATGTGAGCTTTGGAGCTTTAAGAAGCAGGTATAACCGAATATAAAAGCCTGGTAATTTATTTACTTGCCTCTCCTGCGAAATACATTTGCTGGCTGCAGTGGCCACAGGGCAAAACCGCAGCCAGACCGGCAACAAAATGATTGCAACTGACGCATTGCAAGCCGCAATCAGAAGACGCAACAAAAATTGTTGTGATGATGAAATGTGCAAGCCCATAAAATCAATGCAACGCCCACACACGCACTCCGGGGGGCGTGGTACATGTGGGTGGCACGGTGGCACAGTGGGTGGAGTGGGTTGTGTGGAAAAGCCGCACGCACTCGCTGTCAACTGCAGCGACTCTGTCTGGGCATTCAGACCTAACGCCAGCTGCAGGAAAAGCCGGGAAAACCAACTAGCTGGCAGTTGAGTCGCGGCTTCTGCCTGCCACCCACTAACACACTTGGCTTTCTCCGGCTGTCAGTGGAAGATGGCTGATGGCTGGGGAAGAGCCGTCCGTCTGCCAGACGCACGAACGCCTCCTCTTAAACAATTAGGTGGAAACTTAATTTTCCCAATCGCATGCAACATGCAACATGCAACTTTCGCCCCGCCTAATTGCTGGAGAAAGTGAGGTCTTCTGCGGGTAAGCCGCCATGTCAGCATCAGTTTGCCGCCGAGGCACAGGCACTGGAAAATTGAGAGTCAAACTGGGGGACAGACAGCACTGCTGCTCCATCGGTGATGTATTTTTGATTGCAGCCGCTCCAAAACACAACAATCAGCAGAAATTGCGGGGGCGAAGCGGAAACAAAACGCAGACAAAATGCCAAGGCGCAGAGGACAAAACACAGAGCAGCAGCAATCATCATAACCTGTAGCTTCAGGCCAAGCGTAACAATCATCTCCATCAGAAAAGGGATCCCTAGTCGACCTTGAGATACCCTTCAAGGGGATAGAATGGATTAATGTTCTGTAGATTGATTTAAATTACCAATCATATCATTACCAGACTATATTCAACTTCAAACATATTAATAATAATAAAATTGAGCATTATAAGTTCTTATATTTAATTCCTTATAATATACCTTAAGTCTTCCTGTTCACCAAGATATCATACCCACCTCACTCCCGAAATACAGAGCATAAAATGGCGAAAAAGAACCCCAAGTTGCTGTGAACCGAAGAGCGAAAGTTCACACCGAAATTGAAACCCGAGGAAGGAATCTGTGGCATAATCTGAGGCGCAAAATGGAGATGACAATAAATTCGATTCGATTTCGGTTTTGATTTAGTTGAGTTTAGTTTAGGGAGCATCATCATCCTTGGATTACCACGCACCCAGCCCCAAAATGGTGATGTCGGGATGCCAATGATGATGGCGATGGTGATGCCAATGGTGATGATGATGGCGATGGCAGCGATTGTCGCCTTATGGCAAAAGGAAAGTAAACACAAATAGATAACAGACAACAAATAAAAACCAGCAGGGCGAAATGAAAATAAGACAAAGCACACACAAACAGACAAACCGACGAATGGATGGACGGATGGCTCGCGATTCTCGGTTACCCAATTCAGGGATCCGAAAGCGCCCAAGGACCTCCGCAGAGGAAAGCCATTGGCAAACACATTCGCCAAATCCCGCTCAGCTTAAGTTGGCTTTGAAATTTTGATTGAAA